ATACTGATTGAGATACTGACTTTGGTATCTGTTGGGTGTAATTATGTTCTTGAGTTTTATTTCACGTTGTGTAAAGGGGTTTTGCCTTTGGGTTGCTAATGTCATTGCTTGCAACACAATCGTGGTTGTGATTCGCAAAGTTTTTTCTATATACGTGTTTTGTCTGTTAGTTTGTCGTGATTTATTTATTGGTCTAGTTGTTTGATAATCCATATGGGAGCATTTTGGAACAACGGGTGGCCTGACTTGCAAAGTGTGATACGGTTTGAATATCCTGTTGTGTCAGATTGCTAGTTCCATTAAAGGTTACCTGTGTATTTATAAATAATGAATTTAAACTATTCTTACTTGTCCTATCATTAAATATTGTGTTATAATTAAGGGTGGGTTGTAGTGATGACTGGTGTTACTCTTAGGTAATCTCTGTGTATAGACAGTGGCAATTGCTGCACTTGCAATATCGTTAGGGATTTTGAAAAATAATATATGAGACCATTCAGTGTCGCATTCGTAATCTGTTTGGTCTGATCATATTGTTTCATCGTCTGATGTTTGTGGTCGAAAAATTTTCCTTGCTGTTGAGATTAAATCTAATTTATGTTGAGAAAAATCACTTATGAACTATGCTAGGTCTTTTTTTAGTTTTTAGGTCAATATTTACTACCTTTGATATTTCATCAGTGAGTGTTTCACGGATTGAATCTAAAAACCGCGAGAAAAAGTTGATTTCTTGTCTTACTATTCCATGTCGAGAAGTTTGCGGTGGTGATACATATGAAATTTTGCTTGATTCTAGTGTAAAACTACAACTCTAATTGATAGAGAAAACATCACTCGTGAAAATTGAGTTTGCTTTTTATGACTTTTGAAATTGAATTTTCTTGATACATTCAAGGAAACTTTTGAGATATCCAATTCTATATCATCGTTTTGTATTCGGCGTGGTGTTTGATGTGTTTGTGATGGTAAAATTTTGATAGCTAAGATGCCGTAATAAGAGATGATATTACTGATGCCTGGTAGATGGTGGTCGAGTATTTGTTTTTTGTCTTCTGATTTTAAACTCAGGAAACTATTTTTTACATGAGCTATTTCCTTATTCAAACAAATTTGCAATTAAGTTTTGGCAAAGTTGTACTTGTCCTCTAGCGGAATCATTTTGTGGGTGAATGACAAAACGAAGAATAGAATTATCATCAATTTTTTTGCTGTATTGTATCTTTTTTTTGTGCTGTATTATGGTTAATGTGTGACTTTCCTTATGTTTTATTGGTTGATTCCAATTATAGAGTCTTACTGGTTTGTGAAGGTATGAACTTTTTATTCTGCGTTTACCTTTAGTACACTATTGTGTTGTAGATTCTGATTCGGAAAAAAAATTTCGGTTGTTTATTGGCTTATTTTCATTGTCAATTAAATCTCGAAGACTTTGAAGTTCTTGGTGTGTAGTTGTGTCAGATTCCGAAACTGCGTTTCGTGTTTTGGAAATTTTTTCTTTCGAAATTTATTTTTATTTTGTGATTATTGCCTTCTCCCTTGTTTTTTTATACTGATGTATCCTCTTTTTTGCTTATGTGGTTTATTTGTTAGAGTGATGGCTACAAAAATCAGGGGTTAGGTTTTTTTCCCTAATTTGTTAGTTCGTACGATTTTTGTGAGGTTATTTTTAATCTTGGGGCAAAGACTGTCGGGTGTAGACAGGTTGGCGAGAGAGAGAGCATTTCAGTTCGTTAGAATGATTTTGTACTTTCTTGGTGGTTAGGTTTTTTAAAGAAAAATTTATTTAATCTTAGTTGGCGTTGTGATTTGTGATAAAGGTTGGAGAATAGTAAATCAATCCACAACGTTCAGGTATAAATAGTACTCAACTAAATCGTAAAAATTATTTCAGATTTTACTAAGTTTATGCTTGCTTAAGCATGGGTTACAATGATGACGGGCTCAAGTGAAGGATAAGAAACCGAAATTTTTCACTGTTTATCTTAATTAGAATGGTTAGTTGTTCAACAACTTCTATTAAACTTTGGTCGTTGATAAAAATTGGAGAGTGAATCAACGTTTGAGGTCGTTAGACACTTTTTATTAGGGAGTGGGAGAACAAAATTGTTCTGATTATTCAAGGAAAGCCTCGATGATAAATATTTCTAAGAAAAAATTAAAATTTGAAATGAAGTTCAAAATTTAAGATCCAGGGATAGCCTTGATGATCCTGTTTGAAGGAATCTTAGATTATTAAAAAATAAGGGCAGTCCTTGACAATATTTAATTTTAAATTTTAAGATTAGTGAAAGAGTTTTAAGTTAAAAGGGTTGATTTAAAGTTTGGGGATTTAACTAATATTAGTCTTTATATGATTATGTAAAAAAAGAACTTATTATAACTTTTAAACTAAATTTAATTTAATTTAGTAAGTAATTTTTGTACGTTTTTTTTTAAAATAAATTTTAGTATTACAAACGTTTTTTTCTTAGTTACTGCAGATTTGATTAAATGAACGACACTTCTTTTTTTTTATTAGTCGGTATTATGTTATTTATTATGGTTATACATCATTGAGAAGTATCTTGCTTGGGTAAAAATCTTACTGCTCCAATTAAGTTTTATATCTTGTTAGTGAATGAAAGTCTTCTGCATTGAGAATTTTGTAGACAAATAATCATTGTATTCTGCAACGTTTCAAGGTATAGTGGCTTGGTCTGGTGTTTGGTTTTCGATCTGGTGTTTGCCGTACTGTTTGAAGTAATGGATTAGACTTATTGGGACGTAGAGACATGCTTAATAAAATTTCTATAGTATTTAAAATTTTGTGATGTATTTTTGGTCTTATATTTATTGAAAATGTTAAATCTAAAATTGTTGAGGTCTTGTTCGAGACTCTTGGTTGCAGCAGATGATTAAAATGGCGGGGGTGGCTCACTCATAGAATACTTTCAGATAAGGTACACCCTCTGTTCTTTACGCTATCTTATTTTCGGAAGATAGATTCTTGTGCATCTTCTTTGTCTAATACCGATCTTATTCTTACTCTTATATTTCTTAGTCTCAATAAATCTAATGTATGCTACGATTTGCGAGTTAGGTTCAGGAATTATCTTGAAAGAGAACAACTGTCTTCTAAGTTATATTCAATTTGTTTTGTTGCTGAAACTATGAATTTTTAAGAAAAACTTATTTAATCTTAGTTGGGGTTGTGATTTGTGATCAGGGGTTGGAGAATATTAAATCAATCCACAACGTTCAGGTATAAATAGAACTCAAGTTAATCGTTAAATACTATTTTAGATTTTACTAAATTTATGCTTGTCTAAACATGGGTTACTATGAGGAGGGGCTCATGTGAAGTATTAAAAACCGAAATTTTTCACTGTTTATCTTAATTAGAATGGTTAGTTGTTCAACAATTTTTATTAAACTTGGGTCGCTGATAAAAGTTGGAGAGTGAATCAACGTTTGAGGTCGTTAGACACTTTTTATTAGGAGGTGGGAGAACAAAATTCTTCTGATTATTCAAGGAAAGCCTCGATGATAAATATTTCTGAGAATAAATTAAAATTTAGAATCAAGTTCAAAATTTAAGATCCAGGGATAGCCTTGATGATCCTGTTTGAAGGAATCTTAGATTATTAAACAACAAGGGTAGTCCTTGACAATATTTAAGTTTAAGTTTTAAGATTAGTGAAAAATTTTCAAGTTAAAAGGGGTTGATTTAAAGTTTGGGGATTTAACTAATATTAGTCTTTAAACGGTTATGTAAAAATTTAGACTTCGTATATTTTTTAAACTAAATTTAAATTAATTTAGTAAGTAATTTTTGTACTTTTTTATTAAATAAATTTTAGTGTTAGAAACGTTTTTTTTCTTAGTTTCTGCAGATTTAATGAAAAGAACGACACTTTTTTATTTTTATTAGTCGGTATTATGTTATTTTTTTTGGTTATACATCATTGAGAAGTATCTTGCTTAGGTATGAATCTTACTGCTCCAAATAAATTTTATTTCATGTTAGTGAATGAAAGTCTACTGCATTGAGAATTTTTCAGAGAAATAATCATTACATTCTGCATCGTTTCAATGTATAGTGGCTTGGTCTATTGTTTGGTTTTTGATCTGGTGTTTGCCGTACTGTTTGAAGTAATGGATTAGACTTATTGGGATGTAGAGACATACTTATTAAATTTTCTATAGTATTTAAAATTTTGTGATGTATTTTTGATCTTATATTTATTGAAATTGTTAAATCTAAATTTGTTGAGGTCTTGTTCGAGGCTCGTGGTTGCAGCAGATGATTAAAATGCAATTTGTTTTGTTGCTGAAACTATGAATGATTGGTTAGTTAGAAATATATTTTATAGAGATGTTTTTGTCAATATTATAATTGAATATAAATACTAGTTTTAAACTGGTTCCAATATACCGACATCAACGGCGAACAGAAATCCGAAACTCAGTAAGCTTGCTGCTCTCAAACATCAACTGGAACAACACCGACATTGCCTATCGTAATTTAGTTTAACTAATCGCAAAATTCGACCGGCTGTCACGTAGCACTACTTGACAAGTTAGAAATCAGAACATGTCAGCCGCCGAAATTGAATAACCAATTCGAATCATAAATTGAACCAAGGAACTTTTTAGCGAAACTAAGACAGTATGAGCAAATGTTCAAAAGGCCAAAATCTCTTATTTACAACATTGATGTGCGTATAACATCTGTTTACAACATGTTTTCAACATCTGAGCACAAAAAATCCTTTGTATTTTTTTAATGGAATCATTATCGATGGCACTTCTTTCGTGGTACATTTCTGTGCTCAGGTTTTCGCCAAAAAATCTGCAAATTAAAATATCGAAGTTTTTAAGCTGGTCAAATCATGTCAACCAAAATGTAGGGCGGCCTTTACAACTCTGGAAGTAGAAATTTGGTCGAACCACACATGCTCGATCCATAACTCCATGACATTAAATGGTGAAAGTACAAAAAAAATAGAATTGTTCGCGAGAAAAATTAATCTGTAGTAGTCACAAAATAAAGGAAGCAACCAGTTACACCAAATGTTACTGCACAATATGAGATGCCCAACACCTTGTCTATGAAAGCAGCTTGATGTCTAACTTTCCATAAATATGAGTTTCCTTTTCCCTGTGGAACCAGTTCAGCCGTGGATTCTGTACCTTCAAATAGCTCTTCGGAAGAAACGGATTCCTTTGATTCTGATTGGTCGTTTGGACCTTCATCTGTGCCAACCTTCTGATTCACTACTGACTTTGATCTTTTCACACCTTTTAGCAAATTCACGATCTGAAAATGATGTTCACTCACTTTTCTGTTCCGTTTTTTCACGTGGAAGTTGACCATGATAGTTGACAATAAAAGCGAAAGTCCACATAGCAGAATGCTGAAGAAGAAGTAGTGACATACTATGGGCATTGTACGTGAGGTTTCGGGGAGGTAATCCATTACCACGATTAAATTGACACATACAGCCAGCAAAATAGTCACTCCATACCTGCAGAAAGTAATCAAAATCAAAAACACAACTTAACTACCTAATTCGACTCCACGACAATTTTTATCCACAATTTTTCTTGGAATCCAATTAGGAGCCGATTAGATGAAAACATTTATCCACCCACCAGCGGATTTAGGGAGGAGGCGGATTCGACCCCCTGCCGACTCAAAGGGTACCCCTTTGTACTATTTTGAGATCTCCATTTTTGGCTGACTGACCCTAAAATTTTTTTAAAGGGCGCCTTTGTACAATTTTTTGGTCAAAATTTTTCAAAAAGTGCTTCGAAACGCCTTTCTTGGTTTGTTTTTTTTTCAAAAATTTTGCTGGGGCGCAAAAAATTTGTTCAAAGTGGGTTCTTTATTTCCGAGCTACACCAAAAACTCTTTTACGGAAAGTTTTGATGGAAAAAATAGCTATTGTCGCTACTGATTACTCATTTTTAAGGCATCAAATTTTTTGGTGTAGCTCGACCAATTAGTTTGAAAAAAAATGTATATAAACTTTCAGTCCGCTGAATCTACCACAAAATTTTGGTACCATTAACCTCTTAATTACTCAAATAAACTAGAAAGTTTTAGGAAAGTTATTTTGAAGATTTTGGAATATTCAAAAAAGTTTATAATGAGGTTCGGAAGCGTATTTGCGTAACACTTCGTGTATATCAGCTTCAGCGGTCTTTGTCACAACACAAATGGCAATACGCTACAAAATTCTCTGTGTTGATGAAAATAAATGAAAGCTTAGGCTTGGCATGGTTTTCATTTTAGCTGCAGACTTCCAAAATGGCATTTTAAAGAATTTTTATGAAAACTCATTTTTGCAGTCGAAAACTCAGAAAAACAGCATTTTCCTGTAAACTGTCTTTGGCTTAAAATTATCTCCAAATTTGGTCATTCTAGGGTTTCATCGGTTATCCCGCGCTCGTTTTTCAAGTTAAATGTTTAATTTTTAAGGGAAGTTTTATTATTTCATTAGTGGTATGGAAAATCCCACTGTGTTCAATTTTTAAAAAATATATATTTTGCCTGCAATTGTTTTTAGTTAAATTATGGGGGGTGGAACTATTGCTTTAATTTTTCTTAGCTTTTTTACTGGCGTCAAGATACTAAATTAGCTAGAAACAGCGATTAGTCTTTTTCAGAAAATGATGATTTTCAACTGATAATTTTTAGACTGAATTTTTTATTCAGGAAAAACAAACACACAAACAAGTCCCCCTTCACTCTTGCAAATTGCGGAATTCGTTAGAAGGTTCAACTAAAAACAGATAGCTAGTACTATGGAGACTTCACGGGAAAAGGGGATACACTACATGTCTGCATCCTTAAATGTCTTTTTTCGATATCATACCCACCCTAGTCTCTCCCCCAACTCGCAAGGTAGGAAGAAAGTGAGGGTGCTGAGTTTGAGGAGTATGGTGTTGGGGAGGATGATGTTGCGGACGTAGAAGGAGTTCAGTCTCCGCAGGGACACTGTGATGTTGAGATAGGTGTATTGTCCAGATGGGAACACATCAGAGATACGGGTGCACGAGGTATCTGGAATGTAATTTAAATTACAAATACAAAATGAAACATGGATAGCCGGTTACTGTGCAAGTAGCACAGAATGTTCCGAACATAGTCTTAAGAAACACAACAAAAAAAATTTTCAAGTTAGTGTAGTTTTTTCGGCGTGCCGTGATAAAAGGATCTGAAAGAAAAACCACAGCTTAGGCTTATTTGACAGTCATGTTAAATTAAGCAAATTGGAAAACAATTTTCGTAGAAACCTGACTAAAAAAAACAAAACAAAATTTTTGTATTTTTTTGCAGTTTTTGAATATTTCAGTTTTTGAAGTTCTGAATTCCAATAAACCTCTAAAGTTCTTAAAAAACTAACTTTTTGCTAAAAGAAATTTGTTTAAAATTATTTAAAGAAATTTGAATCACGACTGCAAGGGCTTTAATATGATATACCACTCACCTCTCTCCGATGATTATTCGTGGTATCTGATTTTGCGTGGAGAACAAAAAACAATAAAAAAAAGAAAAAACTAAAACACACCCAAATACAAAGCTCCTCCCCACTTTCCCCGAGTTTAAGAGTGAGAGTGAGTTAGGACCGAAGTGTATAACTCATAGAGTAATTTCGGATAGGGTACACCGTCTGCTCGTCACGCTATCTTATTTTCGGCCGGATAGATTCGTGCAACTTCTTAGTCTAATACCGATCCTAATCTTACTCTTATACTATCTAGTCTCAGGTTGTTTAACTAGTCTCTGCTAGGCTCAATAGATCTAGGGTATACTGGTTTATTGCGGCTGCTGAAGTCTTCTTGGAGAGTCAACTAATTTCTAAGTTAAATTCAAAACTCTCTGGTGCTGAAATTACTAGTAATTTCAGCACTTACAAATAAGTGGATTGTTAGTCAGATGGATCATGATTGGTTAATATTAAATACTTTACATTGGTAAAATATCTAAATTATCCAATCATAAAATATAGTTTAGATCAGGTTCCACCCATCCGGGTTTTACAGAGTTTTTTAGAATAGTCTTTCTGTAATTCAAAGGATGGATGATGGACGTTGGTATTTGGCGAACATCATATTTCTTCTGGGTTCTCTTGTTAGAGAAGTTCCAGGTTCAATCGTTGTGTCTTCTCATGACAACGACTGGGTTTTCGCAACAAACTCAAATCTGATTTCAGAATGGTTGGCTATGTCAGGTTTTTCTGTTTCATTGATGAGAACTTCTTTGTGTTTGATCTTGTCTGGGAATGGCGTGGAGATTGTGCGTGGAGGGGATGCCTGGTTACTCGGATCTGTACGTATACTTGAACATCGAGGTGGTCATTGGTCTAGTTCAATGAAGTCCTTTTCTGTGAAGTCAAGTCGTACTCTAAATCCTTTGAGTTGTGTTTGTGAGCGGCATATCGATTGTGGTTGGCCATTCTTTTTCGAGTGTAGTGGGGTCGTTTTGTCTTTGGATGTTCGTCCTTGGTGTTGTATGCTGATCTATATATTGCATAATATAATTTACATTTTATAAAACTTTTATTAGTTTAATGTTTTTTAATTATGATTTTGGTTAGTTGTTTTTACAAAAGCTTTTTGTTTTCGTTCAGTTATTTTGAAGAGTTAATCACCCTTGAGTAGCTCTTATTAAAAATAGGAGTGTGGTCACAAAGCGTGGATGTAGCACGGTGGGTTAGGCCGGCTATAGAGCATGCTCAGGACGTCCTCTTCTGGTGGGTTAGGCCAGGAGTGGGAATATGATTGCATGCGGTTTTTGTGAGAGGTCCTGTTATGTGACAACGTTTTATGTTGGGTTTGTTGTGGTTTTTCTTATGTTTTGTTGGTTGTGTCCTTTTTTCAAAAATCAAATTGTTTGTGGCATGGGTTTGTCTTTCGACTTTTTTGTGTTTTATTATCTCTTTCTTAGACTTTATAATAGTCTTCAAAAGAATAAATTATCCAGTTTTAAACTGGGTTAATCCGGTTTGGGTACCGTTGGTTTCCTTTTCTTAGTCATGCTGTTATTCTATGATTTGTGGTGTTTAGTAAGCTGCGTTGGTTAGTGTTGTTTAGTATATAATTCCTTTCCAACCGGGTTAAAGGAAAGTTTGAAACGTGTTATCTTATGTTAGAGTTGTTGAGTGTGAAAGCTTGAAACTGAAATTCATTATTTTAAACAATTCTTCGTGGGCGAGCTGTGCGAGTGTGGATAGGATTTTTGTGCGAATGAATGGAAATATCAAAAGTTTAGTACTCTATTTTCGTTTTATCAATTTATTACATAGAAATTCAAATTTTACTGCTATTTGTTGGGAAAAATTAAGTTACAAATTTTCATTATAATTAGATTTACTGCTTGTGGGGGGAAAAAAATTTATAAATTAAATTACTGCATTGGTATTATATTTATATAATTGTTGGTGCAAAAAATTAATAGAGTTTTAAACAGTTTTGAAGAAGTTTTCTATTTTTTATTTTTCGTTTGTGAATTTTTCAGATGATCATTGGATGAAGGCTAAAATTCTAAAGAAGACTTGGATAAAGAATGGTTAGTTTCTAATTTTTATTTTAATTAGTTAATAATATGTATAATTCATACTTACCTGTTAGTCGTCGGGGAAGAAACCGTGGGGGAAGATGTCGTGGATGAGATCTGAAGTTGTTAGTAATTTAGCTAAGATGCGGATGATATTTTTAGTTTGAAGCAGTGGCCAAAGCAATTGAAGTGCTTTAATGGTGGTTAGTTCTTCAGTGCCAACTGCGAACTCATAAGGTGTGTTTTGGATTAGATTATATAATTTGTGATTGAATTTAGTGTTGTGGATGAATTCTAAAATGGGGATTTCTATAGGTTGAACAAATTCGTGTGGGAGAAGGAAGGGTCGGGATTCTTCTGCGTTGAAGGTCTTGGTGATGGGACAAAAAATATACATTTGGGTTATGGGATCATAATTTCGAAGAATACCATGAAGGTTAGTATCTTTAATGCAATATGTGAAGTTAAGAAAGAATGGTGAGGTGTATTTGGAATTGATGAATTGGAAACGGTGGTGTGGTTGTCTGGAGGGAGTGTGTAGGTCGAAGTGATTTTGGATAAAACGATAATATGTATATGTGTGAGTTTGTTTAGTGCGCAACATAATATCGTGTGAGCAGTGCAAATCTCTTTCATGTGGTGCAAGGAAATGAAAGGTTAGTGAAAATATTTGGAAGCGTTCTTTAAAACTTTCGTAGGCTTGCGTGTCTGTTAGTGCTTCTGAGATGATGTGGTCAAATTTGCGATCAAAGATATTGAGTGTAAATACATATGGTGTTTTAATGAAAAATTTTTCTGTGATTTGTGGGTTAGCGAAGCGGTCATCGTCTAAGAATTGATCTTGGTTAGTTCTGATGATGCTATGATCGTAATATTCTAGCGTATATTCGTTAGCTCGGGGTGCAGTGTGTGTTTTTAGTGATTTTTTATATCCGATGTAAGTAAATTGTCTAGGTGTTAGTGGTGTAGTGAGTCGATATAGCATGTCCTTATTTCGTTCTATATCGATGTGAGTGTTAGATAAAGGTAAGCAAAGGGGATTAGTAAAATGATAATATGAGGTCCAAGGAAGGGTAGGCATTAAAACGTGTTCGTCTACAAAGCTACGTGTTTCGTTAGTGTCGTGAGGGGTGTTTAAGGTGTATTGTGGAAATGAGGGTAAGGTGATAGCTAAAAATTCTTTTGTGTTAGTGTGATTTGGATGATTTATATATTCACGGGCTGTTCCTGGTTTTGCTGGGAAAGGATGGTTGGGGAACTTTCTTTTAAAAGTGCGGTAAGCTCTATTAGTGCTGAGTGAAGATTCAGTAGATGTGGATGATGGTGCTAATGATTCGGTATAAATTGAAGAGGGTGTAGGGGTAGGAGGGTTGGATGAATCTATTGTGGATGAAATTTGGTTTATGGTGGGGGTGTCAAGGTGGTAGGGTTGTTGTTGTAAGGTAATAAAATTATCTAGTTCTGGGGAGATTTGGGGGGTATCTGGAGAATTGGATGATCGGTCTGAATGAAGGGAAGAATAGGTTGGAGTGACTTGGGAAGCATAAGAGGGTGTAGAATTGGTGGGGACAGGGTTATTTGGTAGTATTGGTTGAAAAGGGGGTTGGGAAAAAATTGAGGGGTTGGTGTGAAAATTAATGGATGGAGATGGTTCAGAGTCGGCAAATTCATCGGGGGTTTCAATATTCGGGTTATTGAGTTGTGAGGTGGAGTATAAAACTGAGATGTGTGAATTAGTATCGGAATTCATGCCTGATGTTACATTACTGGTTGGGAAATCGGGTGGTGGGAAAGCAAAAAGTGGTATTATTGTAGTTGGAGTAGTGAGGTTGGTTGGATGGGAATTTGAACGGTGTAGGGATCCAAGTTGTCGGCTCATCGTGGGCTAAAAAAATTATTATTTTGAGACTGAAAAGCGGTGGTATGGGGTTGTTCTATAATTTGTTCATAAGTATTTTCATCTTGTGAGTGGTGTGTCATTATATGTTGGATGGGACTTTGTGATATGGTTGGTCTAAAATTTGGATTATGTGTTATTGCTAAATTTCGAAAATTACGTGGGACTAGGGATAATGGATGGTTATGTGGTAGGGGTGGTAACTGTGGTGCTGTTGGCGTTGTGTCTACATTGTTATGTTCTTCATCGTATGTGTTCTGTCTTGTTGCTATTTTTGTGTTGTATTCTTTTATTTGTGCGTCTAAAAGAATTTTGATTATTGTTGTAGAAAAAATTGCAAAAAATCCTGCAAATAGTATGCGTGCTACACTTGCTTGTCTGTTTACTTGTGTGTGTATAGCACATGTGTTGTAGATTCCTTTTAAAAGTGAAAAAAGAAATCCTATAAAGTTAAACATTGCGTATAAAACAGTTAATTTTTCTAAGATGTAATAGGGCCATCCTAGAAAATCAAGAATTTCATTTTTGAGTGTAACAAAGCTAAAAATATTAATAGGTGATATACCTTGGGGACGGTATTTTTCACCGTTTAGATATATATAATCTT